GCTTCCACCGCCTTCACCGCTACCACTTCCACTATCGTTTCTACCGTCGCCATCGACTCCACCACCGCTACCGAGGTCGCCAACGAAAACCATCCTCGTCGTTGTTCGTTCGATCCTTTTCATCTACCCTCCGTTTCTTTCCACCGCACCATACACTAGGCTTCTCGGCCTCCCCCGTGAATTCACCTGAATTTTCAAATACCTGCTCGACGCGAGCGCCTTGGTTCCTCCCCTTCCTCTGTTACCTTTCTCTTCAACTTACCTTTCCGCCTTCAGTTGCGGAACGTGCCTGTGTACTTACCGACAGAGATAAATAACCCAACTGTTCTAACATATCATATCACTGTACATTTGCAACATTCATTCGTTGATTTCAGGTTAAGCGCGTCTAACCATGAACGATATAAGTGCGCGTTCTAAGACTCGTTCGAAATTCTTTTACTCCGTCTAATAAAACGAGAACGTTTCGTTCTTCCAACGAATTGTAATCTTTATCGATGAAACGGGGATCTTATTATTCGTCGATTAGAATTCAGCCAATCGGAATAGACCGCTGATAATGGCGATAATGTTGTTATCAAACTATCGACAACGTATTATATTATAATATCTGTTCCAAAAATTGGATGACAGATAGGAGACGCCATAGATGGATAAAAATTTACCGATAACTCGTTTGAATTTTGTTATATTTTACTTTAAAAACGGAAATGCCGAAATCCCGCTCAAAACTAAAGTACATTGATAAACGTGCTACGTGACAGTAGATGGAGCAACTGACTGCGCTGAGTCAGTCAGCTTGACGTTTCGATTGAAGGCGAGTAACGATCGAGAAACAGAAAGAGAAATAAAGGAGAGGAGAGAAGGAAGAAGAGATAATCGTATCTTACCTTTACTTTACTTTATTCGCCAAAATGAACAGACTTTTTGGTCGACCTAAAACGAAAGAACCACCGCCGAGTCTCACCGACTGCATCGCCGGGGTATGTGTTCGTTTTCGTTGCATCGTTAAAGAGGTTACGTTACTATCTACACAATTTGTACGTTTATAACACATAATTAACGTTTATGATTGTAATAGGTCGATAGCAGGGCGGATACTGCGGAGAAGAAGATAGCAAAATTAGACGCGGAATTGAAGAAATACAAAGATCAAATGGTTAAAATGAGAGAAGGACCCGCGAAGAATGCGGTTAAGGCTAAGGCGTTACGCATCCTAAAGCAGCGTAAGATGTATGAAACACAGGTGGACAACTTGCGTCAACAGGCCTTTAACATGGAACAGGCAAATTATGCTACCCAAACACTAAAAGATACTCAGGCAACTGTAGTTGCCATGAAAGAAGGAGTTAAACAAATGCAAAAAGAGTTTAAAAATATCAATATAGATCAGATCGAGGTATTTTCAGAACAACTTCCTGTTTATTGTATCTCTTTCCTTTTTTTTTTTTTTCGCTAACTTGCGACGATAAGTTAATGCACATCTTAGGATCTCCAAGACGACTTGTCCGATATGTTGGAACAAGCGGATGAAGTCCAAGAAGCGTTGGGTCGCAGTTATGGCATGCCGGATATAGACGAGGATGAACTAGCCGCCGAATTAGAAGCTCTCGGAGACGATTTAGCCATCGACGAAGATACCAGTTTCTTAGACGATGCGATCAAGGCACCTAGCGCTCCTGACAAAGAACCTGGCGCCAGCTCAGTCAGAAATAAGGTTCGTGCTCTCTATTCTATCGTTCGTAGAAATATTAGGAAACATTTTATTTAAAAATTGCATCAAACGAGAATTTTTTCATTTCAGGATGGCGTATTGGTGGACGAATTTGGTTTGCCACAGATACCAGCTAGTTAAGATGTCGTTTCGTAAAAACATCGACCGATATAAGTAAATATTATGTATATGGGTATATCCAAAGATGATTGGTTCTTGAACGACTTTCGACTTTCAGAAGCTTTTGCTACGTACATATGTAGTACACAGACAACGTACTAAGTATTCCGAATTTCTCTAAATCTATGGATATAAACTCGCGCAAATTGTACATTTTCGATGAACGGAACGTAATTTCGTTGTTGCTAATAGATATGCTATGTTAATATATTTTTATTGCTTTCTGTTCATGTTGTTAATGTATAGATCAAGTTAAATAAAATTGTCTAATCTAAGAATTTAAACGATCTGTAACCGAGAAATATTCTTCTGAGTTTGGCTTTGCACTTCTGTGTACTGCATAATTAAGTTTGAGATTACCTCTTTACTATCAATGAAATGCGTTTCTTCGAAACCGCATACTTGCGTGTAGTGATACACATGTGCCTGCAACATAATCGGTATGACTCTACAAGCTTACTTCATAAGTTTCGTGTTTGTATATACAGGGTGAACCGATAACTTTGACCGCCTTAATTATTTTCTTTTATTTACAAAAGTTATATGGTTGGCTATAATTTTTTAAGATTTCAACAATTTATAATTCAAAATCATTTCTGATACCGAAGGTCCACCCTGTATATGTATGCATGCTCGTTTTAACGTTACCTTCCTTCTATACAGTCTAGTAAACTGATCTATTATGTTTTTAAATAACGATATCATCGAGGAAGAGTTTAAAAGACTCAACAAAGAGGTTGAGTGCCCAGCTGGAGGTACGGAACACAAACCTACTTTCATAGCTTCGTTGCTCCACTCCGTGAACGTAACTTTTTTCCGAAATCTGGAAATTCAAATATAATATTGCATACAATGATTTCCAAGTGCATATAAAAAAGTGCATTATCGACAAATTACACGAGATATTTACCTCTCGATGTTTCGTTTTAAATCGTTTACAGGGCAGTTTCCTCTAGCGATATGTGCAGCGCTTAAAATCATAGAACCTGATCGTAGCGGGTCTATTTTAATCAATTGATTATTTCGTGACCATGCATTGGTAAATATTTCATCTATCAGCCTTAAAGAACATATATAGATTACGTTTTTATAATCTCATACAATAATATCATAAGCTAATATGTACTTTGTTTCTCGCATATTGCACATCGTCGGCGCTGATAATGCTAATGGACTAACGCTGCTAAATATATAATGTAATTTTGGGTACGGTACAAGATTCGTCGCTATTTCGTTCATATCCATATTTAAATTGCCAGGGAACCTAGATCCGCTAAAAAACGTGACTATTTTCATAAGATTTACTTGTTATGAATAAAAATTTGTGAAATTATTCTAATTACCTTGTTAAATGAAGAAGCATATTTGCAACAATGCTGTTCATATCTTGAAATGGTTTACACGAGATATTATAGTTTATCTGATCTGTGTTACTTTTTATTTTCAATTGTGCATTGCATATATCCAAAAGGGATTCGTTTTCAATAGGAAATACACAAGTCGCATAATCTATAAGCTCTCGAGTTGACAACAATACATTATATGGAGCTGTAACAACATCTTGCATAACAATTGGATATACGCAAGATACTAGTCTGTAATGATAACAATAACAACTACTAAAAAGTTAATAAAATAACGCTAGTAATAATAAAAATCATAATGATAATGATGATGTCAAATATTATTCTTCGTTGTAATCAAAATAATCTTAAAGAGACATTTATATATTTTATACCTATCTACAGTAGGATAATTATTGGCCAGTAGCTTTAGAACAGCTGTTCCTAATCCAGAACCAGTACCACCTCCAAGAGAATGCATTATTAGAAAACCATGTAACCTAGAACATTCTTCTGCCATACGTCTGATAGTATCTTCTAATTTATCATGATACTCTGTACCATAGGTATGATAACCTACAGCCCTACAAAATATATCTGTAATATTTGTTTTGTCCAAGAATATACCAAGGTAATCGAAGAAAGCAAAAGATAAATACCAATTATTCGCAGAGCCTGGATAATTTGTTACAATGGAAGTTTGATCAAACAAGTCACGCACAGGTCCTCTCCTTAACCCTCCTATGACACTATCCTCCATATCTATCAATATTGCCTACATACCAAGAAATCCACGGTGTAAATCTTTTTAACCATTCGTCTGACTTTTCTGTAATTGTATAGCAATAATATAACATAAATATTATACCCTAGCTCTGACTTTAGCTCGTTTTAAGTCGGTTATACTTTTAAAGCATAAATCGCGTGTATTCTCAGGTATAACAAAGAAACTATCAAACGCATCAGACAAATCGCTCATATCTTTAATGTGGCTTCGTTGCGTCTTAAGTAAATTCATCCCAGTATTCGTTGTTTGTATACCGTACTCGTGTAACGCCAAAGGCCAAAATGCTGAACCAATTTGATTTCCACATTGTCCAACTGAAATCAATGTAAATAAATATAGTATTTAGTTTCAATATATGCTATTTCTTGAAATCCATGCTATGAAATCCATGCTTATACGACGTTCACAATTTATCACAAACGTAATATCACTCGATATATACCTTGTACCGAAATGAATTGACTCATTAAAAGTCTGTCCTAAAGTCTGTACTTGAATTCGGACGTTAAATTCTCTTCGTATTTGACATACTGTGATATTTTCGAATTATACGGTAAACTCGCGCGATTTTCAATTTGACGAAGTGAAGATTAGATTAAAAAGAATAGCATCGATATTTGAATCAGTGTTATCGAAAGTCGCTTATTTCGATTTTGAAATTTCAAACGAACACTTACGGATAAATTCAGTATTGTTCCATCCTGTAGAACCAGATAGTACTTATAGATTAAGGTTAAAATATTGGTTATCTTTTTGCTCGATTATAAAATGGACAACGGAATAGTAAACCCGTTAAGTGCAGTTATTTTTTTACTTATTTTTCATTGTGTGTACACAGAATCACCATCAACTACGGAATCAAGTAAGCCATATTAACTTATAATACCGTAACCTATAAAATGTGTATTATAAAATATACTGACTTTGATGACAAAGGATACGGATGAAAATTGAGGGAAAAAGTTAATTTTGTTCTGTTTTTATGTCATAGCAACATCCGTATATTTATAACAGTTTTTCACTGAACAATTCAATTTTGTTTTATTCGTCTCATGAAAACGTTAACAATTGTTATTTGTTGGCGTTCTGCTTTTTACGTTATAAAAAATATTTAATTTTGAAAGCCTTTTATTTTACTCATATTTTGCTTATATTTTGTTGATAAGAATAAATTCTAAAGAGATACCTTTTATTTGTTTAATTTTCTTTATTTGACCTTTCTAGTACACTTTTTAAAGCCAGGAGATGTTATTGAAAATAACAAGCCTGGATTACAAACTTTCTGTCATAGTGCCAAACCAAAACATGTGAAATATATGTGGGAAAGTTTAACAGTAAGAAATAAGTTTGGAATTCATGTAAAACATGTATCTACATCTCTATGATGTTACATTTAGTTGTATTTTATACGTTATAGATCTACTTAAGAACAAATATAGAAAACTATGATCTTTACAATGGGAAAACTCCTGAAGAAGTAATGCAAATGCACGATGACAATCATAGGTCCTGGAATTTTAATATATTTAGCATACAGAAGAATAAAAAATTCAAAATTAATCCTTTCGAAGATGTATGTATTGGTATATATGTGCATCCCTCCAATTTGCATAAATATACAGTGAGCATGATAGAAACACGTGAGTGTGTCAAAGCAAAGAAATATTTTGTGGTATAAATGAAAGGCGCTTAAATTCTTGTATAAACAGGTACCGATAGCTCCATATTAATAATGATGATGGCAGGCGCTGCATTATTTTTGGGCGCTTATAATCTCAGTAAAAATACTCTATTTTATTATTTGATCAGTATAATGCTTGGAATCACCACCTCGATTATAATTTTAGTGTATTTCATTAGTAAATTTTTACTAAAGGTAAATAGTTTTTGTACAAGTTTTATTCACACGTGTGGTTTGCTACGTCGCATTTTTAAAAATTAATGTCTATACACAATTTAAGGGTAAGATGATGTATATCACGGTCCTCACTGGTTGGACAATGAGTTTTTATCTATTTCAAGTGTTATGGGAAAATACTCAACTAATCATCGTGCAGTATAGGGAATGGGTGGCGTGGTACATTTTAATCACGTCTGTCATCAGTTTCGTCATTTCTTATCGGTTTGGTCCAATTACGAATGTTAGGACGAAAAGACTTATACAGTGGTTCTTGCAGGTTTGTAGACTAATACGTTTGAAAAAACTAACGGTTCAAAGTTCGCTTGTTCTCATTTAATGTTCTTTTTTTCGTTTATTTAGATAATAGGATTGATTACCATGTATTATAGCAGTTATTTACGCGAAGCATCAGCTTTTTTTTGTATCTTCATTCTCTTACTTTATAAGTCTCCTACTGTATTAACTCAAAAAGGCAAAACTTACTGGTAAGTTATTCGATGATATCAGCGTTATTAAGCTTTTTAGCAAGCTTGCTTCGGTGTTTGCTTTCAGTGTTACTCATATTGCTTCTTTATCTAATCGTTCGTTCCTTATATCTATATTTTCAATGTTACAATTAAAAATGTCTGTTAACTCCCCATGGACAAGCATATTTTTTGCAGCTTTCATGGGCAATCTGGGTCATTATGTCCATAACTTTACTGTTCTATTGTTTTACTGTTCTTGACTTTCAAAAAAATCTGAACAAAATTTTGTGATGTTTATCAAAACCACTAGTTTAGTACATAATAGCTTTTTCAGTCGAACGTTTAAAGGATTACTTAGCAAAAATCGAAATTCGCAAAAAGGTTTATAAAAAGATGGGAATTTATTAAAAAATAAATATTTGTACAATATACAGATATAAAAAAAAGTGATTGCATGACTTTGAACCTCTTGTGGTGATCTCTTAGAAAACTATATGTACATTTGCGATGAGTTTAGGAAGTATAATATACTTTAAAACTTGAATTTGGAGGAGTTTTGGAACAACAATGCAGAAGAAAGTCGGTATATTTATTACAAAATGTTACGGCAAATGTACTGATAGAGGGCAATCTCACCTTTTCCTACATATATTAATGGCAGTCGATCTTAGTTTGCGAGATATTTGTGAAAAACTGTTGTTACTACTACTGCGGTGAATTCTGAATATAATTATGTGTCTGTGACAGCATTGGATGCCGGTCGCTATACGCAGCACTAATACTTACACTCTGATATACAATTTCATTTGTATTACAGCAATCATACAAGGCGAAAAAAAAGAAAGCCCTGGTAGTAGGAGAGCAAGAAAAGAAAGAATTATTTACTTTCTAAAATATTGATCTGCTTCGGAACAAAGTGATTCGCACCAAATTCTTGTTGGTTTTAAAGACCCATTTACTTCTTATTTTTTTTTATGTATTCTCCCTTCCCGTCGAAGACATTCAAAAGTGAAATTTCACCTCAGCCACGAGCGACCCAGGTTGTCCACTGTGGGTTGATATCAATTATAATTGCTATTCCGCTCATATTCTACTTATTGTTAATATTTTAATTTGTGTTAATAAATCGTTCTATATTACTTCGTAGCATTTTGTTATTTCGGTTAAAAGGACACGTAAAATAAATGTCAATTAGACTATCTCACCTATTCCATTTTTATCACTTTTAATTGTTTGATAAATATTCGATAAATATTTTGAATGCATTTTCATTATACTTATCGAAGCTAGAGTTTGATATGAATAGCGATCTTTGATAATTGCTAATAGCGATAGACAGTAGTGTGTAACCATAACAAGAATAGTAAGAATAGTAATAGCGATAGCGATGGTAATAATAACGACAGCATTAGTATTATCGTTTAGAAAAGCAACACCGTATGTTACATGTATACACCTGTTCGAAATCAGGATGAACATGTTTCCTGAGAGAAGAAAGTTATTGACAGAGGACCAGTATCGTGAAGAAGGAATAAGAGAAACGAACAAAGCGTTGAACGAGCTAAAAGAATATTGCGTTAGTCCTAAATGTAATCCATGGAAAACGACTTTAATATTAAAAGATCCGATAAGGTTATTATATTATGTATTAGTTAAAAGCTGGTGTGCGTTTACGAAGATTAATCGTGATGCAGTCGCGATAATATATTCGCGAATGTAACGTAATTTAACGCACGTGCTTCTAGGTTTGCCAGGTTTATGGAAGGTGAATCACATTTATCCGAAGGCGAGTCTCGGGAACACGACGCAGAGATCACAAGAATTATAGAGGAATGTGAATATACGGATGATGAGGATGATACGCTATAAAATGTACATAGGAGTCATTTATTTCGGTAAAAGAACGACCAACGAGTACAAAAACCTTGTACACCGTTCATTATGGAAACTTTTCAAGTACAAAATTTTTTACTCTGAAATATTGTACTTACTAATTTACTATATAACTAGAGATTGCATATTTTTTTATTATATCGATGCGTGATTATATCGGTTGTGAAATAAAGTTGTTAATTATGATATTTGTTACGTGCATTGTGCGATTCTATCGAGCAGATTTACTCGATCGCGCCACGATCCTTCGAATCTCTTTGCAACCCTAATCGCGATCGTATTCTTATCTGGTTCGCGTGACTGCGGTCCTTTGCATGTATTTGCCCTATGTATCGTTATGTTGTTTGCTCCAGTTACATTTCTGCGAATGTCACTTTATATTTCACGAGGTTCATTTATAAAAGCACGAAGAGAAAGAGGAGAACAACAACAAGCGTACTTCTTCTTTCTCTCTCATTTTCTTCAAACAAAATTCTGTGAAACTCGGAAAAACCATGCAATCTGTTTTATCGCGGGATGAACGAGGAACAGCGAGAGCTTTATTAAAATAAAGGAACTTTTTGCAGTAATTGTTCCACTTGTTCCTTTTTATTTTTATTCTCTCTCTTTTCTTTTTCATAACGATACATCGGATAAAAGCGTAAAATTGCCATAAAAGCATCCTCGGTTGATTTTACTTCCCCTTCGGGCTACTATTATTTTGCCATTTTATTCAATCTGGTATTCGCGTATTGTACACAACAGCGGAGTTATTGCTTCCCTTTCAAACAGCTCGATCGAGCAATGTAAGTAGATATCGCAATAAATCAGGGACAAATCGTTTGTACGTGTTTACGATTCGAATTGCTTCATCGTTCTGCAGCTTCTCATTAGTTTCTCCTGATCCGCTATCTTCCTTTGAAAAATCCTACCGAGTACGATAACGCGAAACTTTCGTTTGCCTTCGTCTTTGTGAAACGACATCCAAATCTTGGTACAGGCATATTTTTTATAGCATTTGATATATCAAAACGTTCACATGGCAAATACAATATTCACGTTCAAGCGAAAACAACGGATTAATCGATTAATCGATCAACGAGAGTCAAGAGCGATCGAGAACAAACGGGTTGCAAAGTTGTCGTTGCAAGGGCGTTGTTGCTCGTATTGCCATAAGCGAAGATAAGCGTTGGGTTTTTGACACTTCATCGAGAGTACGCGTTCAATTGCTTCTCACGGCGTACAATAGACTCTCGTAGGTCTTGTACTTGCACACGAGTTGCTTTCTCCGACCCACGGCAAATTGTCATCGAGCGATGAACAACACCGACAGGTGGTCTTCAATCGGG